CGCGGAGCGAGCGGCGGCTCGCTACGGCCGGGGCCCGCCGGCGAGGCGTTCACCCCGCCCCCCCCCCCCCTCAGCCCCACGCCCTCAGCCCGCCCCTCGCCAGCCCTCTCCCAGAGTCCTTACGAGGCCTCCCAGATGGGGTCCGAGTAGGTGTCGAAGGGTCGCGCCGCATCGCCAATGCGTCGCCGATGTATCGGCGATGCATCGGCGATGCATCGCCGACGTCGGCGAGGCATCGGCGACGTCGGCGTTGGGAAACACGGGCTACACGTCAAGGAAACACGGCGATGCGGCGCGATCCTCTGGCCTCATCTGCTCGGACCCCATCTAGGCCTAGATCTCCTGCGGGGGCAGCAGGCGACCACCACCACGACCACAACCAAAGTGCTGGAGGGGGGGCGGGGGAGACAACCTGAGCTTCCAGAGTGCTGAGAAATAGCACTCCAGACCTATAGACCTGTCTAGACTGCCTGAAACTTCGGCGGGAATTTGGACGTCGACGTCCTGGTGCTATGTTGTTGCCCTCCTGGAGGGTCAGGGAAGGATGGGGAGGAGGACGCAGAGGTGCGCGATGGGCCCCTCCTGTGGCGCCCCCCTGCTCAGCGCCCTCCCGGTGCAGGAATCGGCCATCGGTCGCCGATAGATCGGTGATCTGCCCCCGATTGCGAAACCGCACCTCGGAACCTTCCCGGGCGGGATGCGCCAGTGGGCGCCACTGTTGGGCGACGAGCGGGCGATTGGTGGTCGATGCCTCCCCCCCAGATCCTTCGGTCGGGAACGTTTGCTCAGCGTGTCCCGGAGGCGGCGCCCCCCCCCCAGCGGCACGCTGTGCCTTGCAAGCGGACGACGCGCCGCTCGGCCTCGCAGGGCGAGGAAGGCGGGGAAGAGCTCGAGACGCTGACGCCTGGAGAATGGGCACGCGGCCGTCGTGCCGCGCCCGCGCGCGGCGGGCCAGAACGAGCGGAGCGACACGCCACGCAGCAACACCTCACCGCCTCCACCCGTGACGAGCTGCCCCTGGCTCTCGGGCAGGAGCTCGGCTCTCCGGCAGCCGCTCGGGGCGATCGGGGCACCCCTGGAGCTCCGTCGGGAACGCGCCCCCAGGCTGGAGAGATACGAGAACGTCGGATAACCTCGAGCCGTAGGTCGGGCGTGTCCCCCATACAGGCGGATTTTGGGCGAACAAATAGAAATACCAAACAACAAATATCCCCACATGGTTTGAGCATGAGCTAAACAAAACATCGTTTTTTCCATACTATCTTTTGGTTTGGTTGCATATTCCTTCTGTAGAGGGGCAGGCCCGAACTCAACTCGAGCCCGAGGCCCGCCGCGCGGATGGATTGAATCTGGGTGGACCTCCCCCTTGGCGCGCGGAGCGCGCCCCCGGGCTGGAGCCCATCCCCCAGGCTGCCAGGCACCCCCCAGGCTGGAGCCCCCCCCCAGGCTGCCACGCACCCCCAGGCTGGAACGCCTACCCCCGACCTGGCCAGACGAAGAAAAACCACGACGTGAAGCTTTCGGAGGTCCGCGCGGATCTGGTGGATCTGCGCTGGAGCCACCCCCTGGTGCGCCGAGCGCGCCGGGGGCGGCGCTGGAGACGCAGCCAGGGGGGCCCAGCGCAGGTCCAGGACAAAAATCCGCGCGGACCCTCGAAAGCGTACATGCCTATTAGCTTTTGTGTTGATGATTCGAGTGGCGCTGTGCCCGATACTGCTGGGAGAGCCACAAGATACCGATACCACTACTTCCAAGACCTCTGCAAGGGTGTGTTCTGACCAGAAGCTCGAGGCGAATCCAGCCACTGCGACGAGGGCCTCCCAGGAGGCTCCCAAAGGTGAAAACGAGGAAAGGGTACGGGTATTGGTACCTCTTCGTCCCCTGAGATTATCGGACCTATCCCGCTGCACCCGAGACTCCCTCCTCCGCCGCCAGACCAGCCTCGCTCAGGCGCAGCCGCCGGAGCGCACCCTGCAGAGGGCGGAGTACCGCCGAGAACTGACAGAGGCGCCCGAAGACCTGAACCCTCGAACCTCGAACTTACAACGCTGCCCCCGAGACGTCCCTCCTGGAGAAACCCATAACCAAAAAGTGCCGATACCGCAACTCCCCGGACCTCCTCTGCCTGGGTGCACTCTGACCAGAATTGCGAGGCGAATCGAGCGGTGGCGACGAGGGCCTCCGAGGAGGCCCAAGAGGGGGAAAACAAGGGAAGGGTAGCAGTACCACTGTTGGCGTAAACAACGCACATCCACAGATGTTGCGTCGAAGGTGCCGACCCCGGACCCCCCATTTCAATGTTGCGTTCGCGGCCGTCGTCGGGGGCACAAGCATCGGCTTAAAAAAACACCCCAAAATCCACCGCCCAGGCAACCCCGTGGTCTGCGCAACAGTGCAATTGGGGGGCTGGGGTGTTCTGAACGCAGCAGCAATGTGCACTATGCCTGGTGGGCTTTTTTTCACGCCCACGGCGGTATGGTCACCCCTGCCTCCTCTCCCTGGTCGTTCTGCCCCCATCCTCTCGGGCGTTGACAGGACTGGGTTTCGTGGGACCTGGTTCAATGATATGTGTACTGGGGGACGCCCCCCCGCCCCATTCCACTGTCCGGAACTGCAGCCACCCGTAAAATTCCAGCTGCGGCAGGCCTGGTTGAGTGATTCCAGCGTATGCTCGGGGCTTCGGGGCCCGATCACTAACCGGCTCCCCTCGGGCGTTGGCAGAACTGGGTTTAGTGGAACCTGGTTTAATGATGTGTACCCGGGGGCGCCCCCCCCGCCCCGCTCCGCTCACCGGAGCTGCCGTCACCCGAAAAACACCAGCTACGCAAGCCTGGTTTAGTGCATCGGGCCAATCGAGGGGCCCCAGGGCCCTACCACTAACCGGGTCCCATTACCCGGGGTCCTGGCTATTAGGGGGCAAACAAACCTACCTCGCTTTTGACCACCCTCGCTTCCAAGAGAAACCAAGCGATGCCAAACTACGGCCTGTACTGGTCAGGCCGCTTGACGAGGAGGCGCGTGGTATGACTTGGTTTTGCCTGGAAGCGTAAGCGGGGTAGGTAATTCACGCTCTGAGCTATACCCGATCCCACGTGCGGGGGCCCTATAGCTATACCCGGCCCCCTCTGTCGCGCGGGAGAACCTCCGCGCGCGCCGTGCTGCCGGCGGGGGCGCCCGCCGCGGCTAAACTACCCGCGCGGGGGCGCGCCGTCCCGTTCGGAGGGGCGCCCCCGCGGCACGCCGTGGGATATCGAGGGGGAGGAAGACGGAGGGGGATATCGAGGGGGAGGAGGAGGAGGAGGAGGAGGAGGAGGAGGAGGAGGAGGAGGAGGAGGAGGAGGAGGAGGAGGAGGACCAGTGTAAAACCAGGAGCCATCAACGATGTTGGAATTAACCTCCCTCCAAGCTCCCTCTTCACAGGCCCCCACGACGGTTCATTTCCGTTGAGGGGGGAACTGCCTCGTTGGAAGACAACCGTTTGAAAACCCTAAAGCACGCCACGCATCAACCTGACTGCTGCGTCTTGACGATCCGGAATCGTGCCAGAGCGTCACTTTGGGGAATTTGACACCGCGAACCAACATAACTGCTGCACCCGCATAATCCTGAACCCTTCCCAAACACCAATCCTGCTACGTTGATCATGATATTCCGTGAAGCTCTTACAAATGTTGAAAACGAATGTGCGCGGCGCTAAGGCGAGAGCCACATGTTTAACCCCCCCCGCCCTCAATCCGTGAAGCTCTTGCGAATGTTTAAAACGAAGGTATGCGGAGCTGAAGCGAGAGCAACATTTTGAAAACGACCCGCCCTCAATCCGTGAAGCTCTTGCACATGTTTACGACGAATGCGCGCGGCGCTAAGGCGAGAGCCACATTTTGAAAACGGCCCGCCCTCAATCTGTGAAGCTCTTGCAACTTTTTCGAGCGGATGTACGCAGCGCTCTGGCGAGAGCCACATTTCGAAAGGGACCCGCCCTCCATGTGTGAAACTGTGGTCATTTCTGAAGCTTCAGTCGTCAATGGTGAGAAAGCGGGGACCTTCTGACCCGGGTCAATCCAGACCCGGGTCAGCAGGAAACCAAAAAACTGCAACGCAGGTCTTCGCAACCCCGGGTCAGCCAATATGCGCGGCCGCCTCGCAGCCACGAGCGGCTCGCTAACCCGGGTCAGCCAGAAGGGGTCTTCGCAGGATCCTGCAGGATCCAGTGCCCTGTCTGACCCCGTTTGCATTGACCCCCGTCTCTTGAGCCCCGAAGGAAGTCTCAGGCAAAATGCCCAGCCCGCCCTGAAAACTGGCCTCGGGGAGCGACAGGGAGGAGTTATCTATAAAGAGAAGGAATGGAGGAGGATGATGAGGAGGATGATGATGATGAGGAGGAAGGGGATGAGGAGGGAGGAGAAGGAGGGGGAGGAGCAGGAGGTGTAGGGAGGGAGGAGGAGGAGGAGGAGGAGGAGGAGGAGGAGGAGGAGGAGGAGGAGGGAGGAGGAGGGAGCAGGAGGAGGAGGATGAGGGCGGGGGAAAGCCAAGGGCGCTGCGGCGCGCCGGCTCGGCGACCAACGACGGCGGGATGGCTCGACGGCCAAGCGCGGTGGCGGAGGCCAGCCTCCGGACAGGGAGAGCGGGGTGGCGGGGTGGCGGAAGCAGCCGACCACCGCAGCGAGGACGGGAGCGCTGGCGGCCATTTGACGAACGAACAACACACACCCATACCCATAGGGAGGTCGTTGGGAGGAGGACTGGCTATGGGTATGGGTGCGGGTTGTCGGACCCTGGGGAACGCTCCCGGTCGAGCGGGGACCGCCATCCGACAACGCGCACCCATAGCCCTCTCCGATCCCCCTATAGGTATGGGTGTGTGTTGTTGGTTCGTCAGCCATGTGCGGCAGGAGCAGAGCAGAGAGCAGGGGGAGGGCGTCGCAGGAGCACAGCAGGGAGGCGCGCGCTCGCTGCTCTCTGTGTGGCAGCCTAGCTCGGTCGAGGTGCTGGTGGGGGATCGGCGGGTAGCGGCAAGCAGCGGCAGCGGGCCGGCGGCAAGTAGCGGCACACGCTCCGCGCCAGCCGTCCTCCCCCGATGACCCCCCAGTATGCGCTAGTGGCAGCGAGACACCAAAAGCGAACCCTTTTGCAGTTCACGGCGTCCATGGATGCAGAAAGGAGGAGGAAGGAGGAGGGAGGAGGAACGATTAGGAAAACAACATAACATAACAAAACAACTGCATGAGCATGACCTCTCGAAGCTCAGCTCAGAGTTCTCGGATCGGCGCTGGCCCACCCTCCATGGCACGCGGAGCGCGCCAGGAGCGGCGACATAGGCGCCGCCATCATGCCCCAGCGACGATGCATAAAATCCGCCTGGAGCTACAGTTTATGTTCAGGCCGTTGCTTCCTCCCCGATCATCGAGGAGACACCGATGAGCAGATGACATACATGAAAAGGACGGAGGGGTACTGTGACGAACAGGATGCGCCTAGAGAGTTCCTTAGTAGACGGGCCCTTGTCTCCAGAGCCCATGTGGGAGCCACAGACTGGCTTGGAAACCTTGGAACGTATCCAGGGGACCAAACGAGGACATAGTCCGCGCGGATCTCTTGGATCGGCGCTGGACCCCCTTCCGGAGCGCGCTATGGGCGGCTCCACAGGCTCCGCCAGGGGGCTCCTGCGCCGATCCCTCAAATCAACGCGGAGCTCCGAGTTTTCATGTGCATGCTGTATGTCACTGCTTGCTTCCCTCGTATACCAGTCGGTCGAAACAAGCGGGTACAAGCATGGAGGAGCAGGGCGTTGGAAGCAGATGGGGGCCTCCGACCGACCCCCTGAAGTATGATGGCGCCCAAGAAATAGATTGGGATCTGGATCTCCCCCGATAGAACTACCTGCTCTCAGCGACCGGCGTGCAATCATCAGGACCTTGTGAACGCTTTCTTATTCGGCGTTTCGACATTGGGCGGAAGCGGGGGTGGGAAGGGGGCGGTGGTCTGGCTCGGGACCTCTGCTTAATGCGTCTGTTTGCAGCAGTGCGTCTGGGGGAGACTCCACCTGGCTTGAAAAAGGCGCCCAAAACAGCCAAGATCTGCTCCGTGTGGGGATCGGGGGGGGCGAGGGCCCGCGCCAATCGGCAAACCAATGAATGAAAAAACGTTCACCTTGTGCGCCTCGGAGGGGAGGAGGAGCAGCACCGTCGCGAGCGAAGGCCGAGGGCATCCAACAGGGCACGGGGCCCTCCTGCATGCTACCGGGCCCCGCCGCTCTTTGCTGCCTGCTTCGCTCTCTTCGCGCGGCGGCCAACATTGAGACGGACAGTTCCCGTGTTGGGAGGAAGGGGTTGAGAGGATGAGGGGCACGGTGGGGGCATTGCATGAGGAACCCTTCGAGAGGGAATCCAGGGTCTGGAGGCCGGTAGACCTCCAACTGAGGCGTGGCCGTGGATACCACCGCCGCCCTCGTCAGATGAGGAACCCTCCGGGGCCTGCAGCGCCCTGGGCGCACTCCTTCGGCCACGCCCCCCCCCCGCACGAGCTATGTAGCCCACGCACGCACGGAACGCCACCCGGGGCCGCCCGCGGGCACGGGCATAATATCCTCCCGTCGCCCCGCGCCGCCCTCCCGTCGCCCGGCGGGGGTCCGCCTGCACGCGCGCCCCTCCGCGCCCGCCGCCCCCCGGGAGGGGGGGGGGGGGGCGGCGCCCTCGCGGGGGCCCTGGCCATCGCTCGGACGTCCATTCCCTGTGTTTTTTTTCGGCTTCGTGTGTGGCATTCTTCGCCAAATGATCAAGGATGCTCCTCGATGGTCCTCGCCGAAGGAAGAATGCACACGTCCGAGCGATGCCAAGGGCCAGGCCGCGGCACGCGAGGTGCGGCGTCGGGCCGCGCGCTCCTGTGCGGGGGCAGCCTGGGCTCCGACGGTGGGCGCGCCTGGGCGGGGAGGGGGGGGCGATGCAGTCGACCCGTGTCGTCAGGATGCGCGGTGAGGGTGCAGAGGGCCTTGGATTCCCACGTGAACTTTTTTGTCGGACGAGGCTGACCAACGAAAGGCGCTCAGGATGGGCCGAAGGGGCAAGGATGCAAGGGTACCCTCGGGAGGAGAAAAGGTGCTCTTTTCGGGCCCTGGAGGCCCCCTCTTGGGCCCTCAAAGGGCCCCATTTAGGGGCCCTGAAGGGCCCCGTTTCTGCAGCCCTCGCTGCCCCCCCCCCCCCATTGAGCGCCCCCCCCAAGTCCTCGCCCCCCAGCGACGATGTCTGTTTGTCCATCCGGGAGTCTGTGCCTCGAGCTTCCCGCCTGTGGTGGCCGCTGTGTTGTGTCCCCGAGCGATCGAAACGGATCCGTGGCGAGGAGCTGCAGCTGGGGGAGGGGTCGGGACCACGAGCGCTGCGTATTGCAAAGCTCAGGTTGTCCTATGTCCATCGGGGTCGCCTGGTCCCACCCAGGGGCGCCATGCAACGGGCAAGCCACGGGGCCAGGGGACACGCGGTATGGCATGGTATGCAGGAGGGCCGGAGGACGGAAGGGCACCCCTAGACAGCGCAGTGTCGCGTACCCTGGGGGCGTGGTTGGTCGTGCCTGCCTGGGTTCCTCAGTCCTCGCCTGATTCGCAGCCTCGTCGCCCCAGCTCGCGGGCGGGCCGCGGGAGCGAGGACGTGGATCGCAGCAGCGGGGCAAGAACGGGGCAGCATGGGGAGGAACCAAAGCAGTGCAGGGATGAGTATGCCAAGCACCGAGGCGCTATTCGGCCCCATCGGGGGAGCGGCAGTGCATCGGGCGTGATCGACGAGAGGGCACTGCAGCCGGCGGCGCGCGCCTCAGCGTTTCCCCTGCTGCATCATACCAGGGTGCATGCCCTTGCCCTGCTGCATCATGCCAGGGTGCATGCCCTTGCCCTGCTGCATCATGCCAGGGTGCATGCCCTGCTGCATCATGCCAGGGTGCATGCCCTTGCCCTGCTGCATCATGCCTGGAGGCATGCCCTTGCCCTGCTGCATCATGCCTGGGGGCATCCCCTTGCCCTGCTGCATCATGCCCGGGTGCATGCCCTTCTGCATCATTTGCTGGGGGCAGCCACCCTGCTGCATGCCCTGCGGCCCGCCCATGCCCAGGCCGCCCATGCCCTGGGGCCCGCCCTTGCCGGGCCCGCCCATGCCTGGGGGCAGGGGCCCCCCCGGACCGCCGACCATGCCCTGCGGCCCCATGCCTGGGGGCCCGCCCATAGGGCCTGGTCCGCTCATGCCCATGGGGCCCGGGCCGCCCATGCCTGTGGGCCCGCCCGGGCCCGGGCCGCCGCTGCCGTTGACCGGGGTCTCCTCGGCCAGCCGCCGCAGCAGGACGTTGACGCAGATGCGGACGTCGAACGAGGGCTCGCTCGCCTCGGCGGGCCGGAGGTCCAGGGGTGTCACTTCGGCTGCGTCGCTCTTGACAGCACGGGGAGGATTCAAGGCTGCATTCGTTGGAGCACGTTTGCGTCTGAGGCTGTCCAGTGGTGCGCACATGTAGTAGACTTGCATCGGGGTGGACACGCGGGAGGACAGCGGACCCTTCCGAGAGCCACAAGGGCCCAGGAATGCGGGGGGCTTAGGGCGGACAGCGCAGGACACAATGGGCACCCATGATTTGAAGGGCTGGCCTACCAATCAAAGTCGACTGTCTGGCTTGGCCTGAACCCTCTGCAGACGATTTGCGCCTTGGAGACTGGCGCTCGCACGGTGCTGCACTCAAGGGTTTGAGCATCTGAAGCACTGCAAAATGATTCGTCGGAAACGAAGTGCACGCCTCGCAGGTATGTAGGCGCGCATGTACGCCGAATGCCTATGTACGTGTATAGATGTAGCGTGTGTGTGTGTGTGTGTGTGCATGCGCGTGAGTGCGTGCGTGCGTGCGTGCTTGTGAGTGCGTATGCGCGCGCGTGTGTGTGTGTGTGTGCGTGTGTGTGTGTGTGTGCGTGTGCGTGTGCGTGTGCGTGTGCGTGAGCGTGTGCGTGTGCGTGTGCGTGTGCGTGTGCGTGTGCGTTTGCGTGTGCGTGTGCGTGTGCGTGAGCGTGAGCGTGAGCGTGTGCGTGTGCGTGTGCGTGTGCGTGTGCGTATGCGTGTGCGTGTGCGTGTGCGTGTGCGTGTGCGTGTGCGTGTGCGTGTGCGTGAGCGTGTGCGCACTTTTGTGTGCGATATTGTGTGGTGTTTCGGTGTATGTGTGCGTGTGCGTCGGGATGTTTCCCTGTGTGTGCGTGTGTGTGTGTGCGTGTGTGTGTGTGTGTGTGTGTGTGTGTATGTGTGTAGGTGTGTGTGTGTGTATATGTGTGTGTGTCCCGGGGCGAATCCAGCATGTCCCTACTACGTGGCCCGGGCCAGTGCGCGCGCCTCTGAGACCCTTTCTACGCCGCGGCGCCACGCCTGCGGCCGCGACGCCCAGAAGGCTCGTCCCAGAGGGGCTTGTCGAGGCTGCTGAAGCCTGTGCGGCCCTCCCGAAGCACTTTCTAGGCCTCTCTGGCGCTCTTGGATCGTTCGGGGGCCCTCTCGGGACCTCTCGGAATGTCTCGGGAACCTCCTAGTGCCCTCTTGGGCGGGCCTCTTGGGGCCCCCGGGCCACCGCTGCCGGGGCCTCTTGGGCCCTTCTGGGGCCCTCTGGGCTCATGGGGGGGGCTCTCTTGGGAGGGCTCCAGAGCACTCCCTCTTAGACGCCAGAGCCTCCTCGGTCCAACGTGTCCGTGCGGATGTCGGGCCGGACGGACGGGGTGTCCGTCAAAGTTGTGGATGCCATGGCAATGGACACCCTAACAATCCGAGCATTGAATTGAAAATGTGTTCAAAATGTCGGAAGCATGCTCTAAAGATGCTTAAAGCATGCTTTACAAGCTTGAGACATGCTAAAAACATGCTTTAGACATCTGGAAAATATTGGGCAACGTGCTTTCTCTCCATTGATCGTCGTCCACAACAGCACAACAGTGAAGGAAGGTCCGCGCTTCAGCTCACGCAGCTGCCTTTCCCAGGGCCTCCCGGGCGCCGCACGCCCCAGTGCCTCGAGGCGGGTGCCCTGCGGGATGGGGCCGACCGAGACCGGCTGCATGTGCAGCAGAGTGCGCCCCCCCCCTACCCCCCTCGGTTCCGGCCTCCTCCTTCCTCCTCCTCCTCCTCCTCCTCCTCTATCCTCCTCCTCCTCCTCCTCTTCCTCCTCCTCCTCCCTCCTCCCCCTCCTTCCTCTCCTCCTCCTCCTCCCTCCTCCTCCTCCCTCCCTCCTCCTCCTCCTCGCCCCTCCCCCTCCCCCTCCCCCTCCCCTCCCCCTTCTCCCCTCCCCCTCCGCCTCCTCCTCCTCCTCCTCCTCCTCCCCCTCCTCCTCCTCCTCCTCCTCTCCTCCTCCTCCTCCCCCTCCCCTCCCCTCCCCTCCCCCTCCCCCCTCCCCCTCTTCCTCCTTCCTCCTCCTCCTCCTTTCCTCCTCTTCTTCCTCTCTTCTCCTCCTCGCTTTCCTCCCTCCTCCTCCTCCTCCTCCTCCTCCTCCTCCTCCTCCTCCTCCTCTCTTCCTCCTCCCCTCCAACTCCCCCCCCACTCCCCTCAACCTCCCCCGTACCCCCCTCCGCCGCCGCACAGGGGGGTAGGGAGAAGGCTTCTAAGAAGGCTTATAAGAAGGAGAAGTCTTCTAAGAAGGAGACAGCTTCTTAGTCAGAAGGCGCCCGCCCTACATCTGTCGGCGAGGCCCGCGCCTTCTAAGAAAACCAGCCTCCTTCTGAGAAGCCGCCCCCGCTGCCCCTACACCCCTGTGCAAGCCCCCCAAACCTCTGCGTCCGACCCGACAGCGGACCCAGACATGCGCTATCTTGATTCTTCCCAGTGCGGGATCGCCAGAAGTCCCGACCACCATCGGCCCTGGGCGGTCTTCTCATCCCGAGTCGCTCTCCGATGATCACGGGGGGTCGCGGCCGGGGGCTCTGCACCAGTGGGTGCCCACGCGGATCGGTCAGCAGGGAGCGATGAGTTGGAGGCCTGGACATGGGCACCAACACCAACACAGGGGGTTGCCTCCACAGGGGGAAGATGATCCTAGACTTCGGCGTTGGTGGTAATGTTTCGGCCACCTTGGAAGCCAGAATGTTACCACCATCACAGAGATCGGGATCTTCGTCTATCGGTGGGGGCACACCGCCGAAATTGGTGTTGGTGTCAACCTCCAGGCCTGCGAATGAGGCCAAATCCGCTCCCTGGTCCCCTCTCTGGGTCCACCTCGTACCAACTCTTCATCCCTTTGAATGACCGAAAAGGGGGTCCAGCTGAAAAGGGGTGGTGCAATAGACTTGGGGCAAACGGATTGCAAACGTGCTGCGCCACAGGAATGTATTGCATTGTATTGCACGCGGAAATCCAGCGAAACCTTTGTGCCCCGGAATGTATTGCACGTCCCCAATGTATTGCAACCCCGCAAACCCTATTGCACCAAATGAACTGCACCACCCCCGTTTCGCTGCATCAAATGAACTGCACCACCCGACCCCTGGATCCGTTTCTTACGGCCCCGGGGCCCCGAGAGAGGGGCCCCCAGAGGGGGGGCCTCCCTGAACCCAGCACCTCGGGCAGACGAAGCCAGGACGAGGCCGAACTCGGGTGAGAATCATCGCGACTGCCTGAGATCTGGCGGATCTGGAGGGTGTCTCTGGCGCCGCGGCCTTCTCGGAGCGTGCGAGAACGCTCTGGAACGGGTTTCTCTTCGTCCCAGCCCCGCTCGACAGACCCCCAGCCGACTCCAACATGCGAACTGTGCGCCGTTGGCGAGCCGTCTGTTTCAAAGTCGGGGCCCGCCCCACTCTCCCGACCAGACAGACGGACCCCTCGTCCATGGAGGAGCCGGGCCCCCTCGAGGGCCAGGCCTTGATCTGCTCGAGGGCCTGCTCGGCGCCCGCAGCCTTCATCCGCTGCCTGTAATTCTCGTTCGGCATGGTCAGGAACTTGGAGAGCGCGAAACACGCGTTCTCCTGATTGGGCGTTCTCTCTGCGGGCAATACTTCTATCCATATCCAGAGCGTCGTGGACTTTTGGGGAAGAGGTGCCGCAACGCCGAGGCGCACTGGATATGGATAAAATCAAGCCTCTTGGGGCCAGATTTTTATCCATATCCAGTGCGTCTACGGCTTCTGGGGAAGAGAGCCCAAGAATCCAAGACGCACTGGATGTGGATATAACTATTGCCCGCACTTTCCCCCCCCGGGTAACAGTCGTTGCCCCCCGGGGGGGGGGGCGGGTTCGGGCGGGAGTGTAACTGTAACGGCGGCCGCGGCGTGCACCTGCCAGGGCGCGTCCGCGTCACCGGCGGAACAATCGCCTGTGCCCACAGCATGTAGGGGGGGGGTCCAGGCCCCAACCCCAGCACGATCGCTAGCGTTAGGTCGCGGATTTGGGGCGAAAGATTAAAAATACCCCCCTAATACCCAAACATAGTCAAACATGGTGAAACACAATCGTCCCCATCCTATTTGTTTGATTTATTTTTGTAGATTCCTCCCTGCAGAGGGACAGGCCCGACTGAAC